GCCCCCCATGACGCCCCTTCCGAACCTAGTCCGCCACGGTGGCGAATCGGTCGTCGCTCCGCTCGAGCTCCGACCCAGAAACAAGCTCGTGCTTGCCCGCCGTCTCGACCTGCGGTCCGCCCGCAGCGCCCGGATCGTCGCATTGTCCTTGGCGCACTGCGGGCACTCGGAGTCGCCCTCGGCGCCGCCGCCGCGCAGGCACCGCTGGTGGAAGCTGTGCTTGCACAGAAAGTGCACGGCCGGCAGGTCGAGCTGCTGGCCGCAGTCGGCGCACCGCGTCGCCTGGAACACGGCGGGCTTGGAGCCAATGTCGGCGAGCTCGCCCCGCTTCTGGTCCGTCTCGGTGCGGAACGCCGCGATGCGCCGCCGGTTCGACGCAATCTCCTGCCGCTCGCGCTCAATCGTCTCGTGCAGGTACGGCTTGATCATGCCCATCGTCGCCACGCCGCCGCCCGACGACCCCACGAGCGTCTGGATCACCTGCAGCGGCGCCATGAGGCCGTCCTTGTCGATCTTGCCGAGCACCCCCGCCAGCTCGTCGGGGCCCGCCTCCTCGAGGATGCACGGGTCCGACGTCAGGTACGCCAGCGCCGCCGGGTACAGCTGCGGCTCCTGCGAGCCGTACTTGCGCAGCGCTCGGATCGCGCCGCGCGTGTCCTTCGCGGCCGTGTACGAGCGGAAGATGTCAAAGAGGAGGCCCGACTGCTCCTTGACGAGCCGCGTGCCGTCCTGAAAGTCGGACAGGTGCGAGAGGAGCAGCACGTTGGAGCTCTCCATTGGAATATCCTGGCCTTCGATGAGCTTCTTGGCCTTGTTTTCCCACTCCTCCTTGTGCTGCTCGCCCCGCTTCTCGTTCGACTTGGAGAGATACATCTCAAACAGTGTCGTATAGAGATCAGTTCGGTCTGAGTGTTTCAGCTCCTTCTCCTTGAGACATGCCTCCAGGAAGACGATGAACTCGTCCGGGTGGTCGATAAAGGAAGAGAAAGCCGTCCTCGGCGGGGGCGGTGTGTATTTGGGCGCCGGGATGTCCTCGGGGTCGAGGATGACGGTGCCGTTTCCGTTCGTCTTGCTGCCGTTCTCTTGCGAGTCTGGCGTCGCCACTGCGGCCGAGTTCATGTACGGGAGGGGAAGCAAGTTCGTAAGGTTTTGCACGGCGCTGGCAGCTCCGGCAACACCGGCGACGATACGGCTAGATGTGTTGCCATCATTGTCTTGGACCTGGATGATCTGCATGCCCGTCGTGTCTCCTCCAAACCCCCCAATTCGCGGTCGGAATTTCCCGGTGTAGTAGTCGACAAAGATAGATGTTGCATCTTTCGGGCAGTGCTCAATAAGAACTCGTGCGTATTTCTTCAAGCAGGGGTAGGCCTAAGACTATTAGTCGCCCAGAACGTCTTCATCATGAAAGGAGCACTCACCACTTCAGGGTCTTGTCGCCAGATAAAGTCAAGAGCCTCGTCATACTGCTTCGAGTCCTCAATAAGGATATCGACCACCAAGTCAATCTCGCCATGCTGTTTCGCGAGGTACGCCGCCTGCTCGTAATAACCACCCTGTCTACACATCGAGATGGCCGTCTCGAGGTCGAATTTCAGGTCGCCGGGAGATTTGATGAATTTCTCCAGCTTGTCGATGTCTTTCAGTTTTGCGTAGCAATTCAGAAGCAGTGTCGTGTGATCGGACGTCGCTTTCCGGTGTTCGTGCAGCTGCTCCAGATATTGGATGAGGTTATGTATCCTCTGTGTGTCGAGGAATTTCCTGATGACCTGTGATGGCTCTGTTGTATCTATCGCTTTGATGTATTGCACCATGGCGCCGTCATAATCTGCCTTTTGGTAGAGGTGGTCGCCAAAGCGGCGGAAGATCTCGGTGCGCTGCTTCTCGTCCATGCCTGACTTTTTGGCGAGATCGATTGCGAGGGGATACATGTTGCGCTGGAATAGGAGTTCCAGCTTTTGCTGCAGAGTCTTCTCGTGATAGCGGTGGACCTGACGTTGTTAGCTGCCGTGAGCGCGTGCATGTGTTCTTTACATCCTACCTTGCCGTCCTGCGTCATCACAAACAGATCGCCCCAAATCTGAAAGAGTGCCCTGAAAGGCGAGATGAGCGACTCAGTGTGTCCTATGAGGCGGAGATCTGCTTCCAGAAGGACAAAGGTCGAAGCATTGAACAGTGCATCCGCAGCCCCTCCGAACCGTCGCCTCATCGAGTCCGGCTGCTTATCCTTGACAGCGCTCGATGGCGGGCATACGAGCGCTGTGTAGTCGCCGTATACAGCCACTGACTTTTTGGGTGACTCGTATGCCTTTGGCGGCCCGCGCCCATCAACGGTATAGGTGTAGATGGCGTCATCCCGCGCAACGACGACTTCTTCGGTCCTCTTGTCCAGCGTCATGCACCCAACATCGCATCCGACGTCCTCGACCGTCTTGGGCGGATATCCATGCCCCTTCTTGGAGATGGAGAGCTTCAGTATCCGCGCTGTTGTCGAAATAAATAGAGTTGTGCTGTTGTTGCTCGGTTCGGGGATGAGCTCGACACCCGTCACTGGCTCCTCGGATTCGTGCATGATGCGCTGCTTCGCGCCCAAGTCGTTGATGAGGTCGCCGCGGATGACAGTCACGGTGCCGTTGGCGAAGCCCACAGCAATCTGGGAGAGGTCGTCGAGGGCTGTGAGTGCCGAGATCTACGCTGGTCAGCACGGCACGCGGCGCCTCCTCCTGCCCAACGTACCGGAAACTGTTCTTCCCATTGTTGATCCGCAGCGTGCTGAGGCACGTCGGCATGTTCGTCTTCTTGACCAGCTTGTCGAGCGCCCAGACCTTGAGCACCGGCTCGTTGCTGAGGTCCTCCTGTTCGCTGTCAGCGGCGGTCGCACATGCCCGCGAGCCGGTCGGCCTACCGCGATTGTGAGCAGCAAGCTCGTCCCCTCGATCTGTCGCATGTGGGTGATGGCAGCATCGTGCGCTTGGAAGCTTCGAATGATTTTCCAGCTCGCTCCCACTATCCGTACATATCCATCGTAGCTTCCGAGGAAGAGGCTGTCGGAGCCTGAGCATATCTTGGAGATGTCATTGCTCTCGACAAAGAGGCGCGTCTCGTCGTCCGCCAGCCGGACGTGGCTGACGTCGAAGAAGTCGAATGCCCTCCACTGGATCTGTTAGCTGCTGCGGTGTCGCATATTTTCCTTGAGAAGCGTACCGATACGGCCATCGCTACATTGCCTCAGAAGGTGGTTGTCGTGGGGAAGATGTTGACGCTGTAGCCTGTCGCAGCATGACGTTGTTGGGAGCTCGAGCTTG